TGGTAAGTTTAGAGTCAAATTTTTTATCGATTATTAATATATAGATGATTAATTTATGGAAATAATACATAAATCCTACATATTAAAATTACATTTCAAAATTAATAAACTTGTTAAATTATTTCAAAATTCAAGTGTTAATTTCAATTAAATATATATAATATATAATTAATTATCCCACCCCACCCCCACCCCCACCCCCACCCACCCATCCACCAAACCAAAAATTTCCATAAATTCAAATCTGAAAATCACACCATCTCACGGATAATTAATTATCCCTACCTCATCCCATACACGGCTAGCCCTACCCCACTAAAAATTTCCGGAAATTCAAATCCGAAAATCAACCACCCCACCCCACCTCACCTCACCTTCCAAAAAATTTCTAGAAATTAAAAATTGGAAATCACACACCCAATCCATGGATCCATCTACTTTACCCATACCTTGCAAAAAAAATTTCAAAAATTAAAAATATCAAGTCATTGACGTGTCTCTTTGACTGATTGTGACCAAATTTGTATTCAATATGACTGTCTGTGGCCAAATCAATCTTAATTGTGACGATATGTGATCAAGTCCCAACCGTCACAATTAACATAGAATTGATCACAACCAGTCACAATCGATCACAATTAACACAGAATTGGTAACAACCAGTCACAATAAACACATATTTAGTCACAAATGATCACCACAAACAAATCCGCTCATACCACGAACAAGCACCACAATCCACCACCAGTCATTACCACCATCACCTCAAATGCACCATCAATACCACATTCAACTCAAATTTACGATCAACACCATCAAGAAAATCAGGAAAATCAACTTCGATCAAACATAGACAAAATGTTGTGACATAAAATTACAGATTATGCTACGAAATATTGCAATAACCCAACACATTGAAGTCAAAGTATTATAACTACAATTACAAACGAAGTATTACAATAACTCAACACCATTAAAGCTAAAGAAGAGACGAAAATTGTTTACAAATTTTGAATACAATTGATTTATCGATAATTATAATCATTACTTTCAAAATCCTAAGTGTTATACAAATTACAGACTCAAAGAACAGATCGAAAACTAATCTCAAAACCCTAATACATGAACT